ATGATAAGAAGCAGAAAATGCAACCAAATTCTAAGACTGAACTTTGGAGGTGTGAAAAAATATCCCTGCAGATTTCTTTTAAAAAACTGAACACAGGTCTGCCGTACAAAAAAAACAAAACAATGGAAGCTGTAATCAAGGCAAAGCGTGGACAAACTGAATCCTGATGAAAAATGTGAAATCATATTTAGTTCTTGAGGCTTCTGTGTCATTTTCTTTTGAATATATTTTCTGCATTTTTTCCTGCCACAGAAAAACAAAGAACTTGTCCTTAAAAGCTTTTGACTAGAAACAAAATAAATGAAGGGTGGTATCTGACTTTTGCACAGTACTGTATATGTAAAGTTTACTGTGGCCATGAGATTATAGACTTTGTTCTAGTCTCTGTGTGACCTAGCAGACCCTTTCTCCATCAGGGCTTTGTTAGAGCTTGGCTCTGACAGATGCAGGGAGACTAATGCGCTATGTTTGTGCTCTCAGGGCTCGCTAATGAGACGCTTTTGTCTTGTCTCAGTCATCGGCCAATTAGGGCCAAGCTGGATGAGTGTGAGAGCAGAATATCAAAGCATCACATTCAGGCGTTGTGTCGTGGGTATTACACACACATACACACTCCTCCTGTGTTCAAGAGTTATATCCTGCCTCTTTCTATGGTATTTGTGGGTGTATTGATTAGTTAACATCTTCACATTGTCAGGTAGGTGTCTGCATGTGAAAAGGCCTTCTTTAATTTTAGTGCAGCTGGAGTGTTTGAGCCTTTGTGTAAGTGTGGGTGTGTGTTGGAGGGTGGAGGTTTTGAAGTGTGCGAAAAGAAAAGGGGTTTAAGCTTTAGGGGAGAGATATGTGTCTCTGATATGAAATAAAGCTGTTGCTTGTGGTTGAGAGAGAGACAGACAGAGACAGGTTTAGAAGGAGAGATTGGGGAGGCATTCTTCCAGGCATTCTAAAAATAGCTCTGACCGAAGGGGGGGGGGCAGATTGACGTCACCATGGTGACTACAGGCAGGCAAGAGGGAAGGAGAGAGAAAAAAAAGAGAGAATGATGCCTTGGAAAAGAGTAAAGTAAGAAAAGAAAAGGGTGAGGAAAAGTACAAGATGAAAAATGAAGCATAAAATACCAGGAGAGAGGATTATGGGAAGTGTAGTTGTAAGTTCAACAAATAAAAGGACACATTTTGTCTATTACCATTCCAATACTGGTACCATTACAGCTTAGTGTCAAAGTACACTAAGCTGTAATTTGACTTTAAGCAATTTAGATTGATATTTTAGTGTTTTAAAACCAGCGATGCATTGATATGAGAACTGTAGGTTGAAGCTGATATTTGATATTTTCACATCATCGCTGTCAGGACAAAACCTTTTATATAAATTTTTGACATAATTTGAAATCGCCAGCTGCCCTTTACGTTGTGTCAAAATTTCATGATGAATGAACATAAAAATGCTCCAGAATGTCTTGGAATAAATAAATTCTCCATTAACTTACATTGAAAGTTAAGGTCATTTTTTTCTTCTCCTATAAAGGTATCATTTTGAAGATACAGGGTTTCATTCTGGCACTGATGATGTATGTCTGCATTTATGAAATTTAGACTTCAACTAGCACAAGATGTGCACAAGTACTCAACCGTTTGAGGTGCTGGTGTTTGAATACTAAAATCGCTGTTTGGGTACTCATTATCATAGGAAAATGAAGAAAATATAGAGAATAATTAAATGAAACAGCGCTTTTATATGCTTTAACAGGACTATAAAAGTCAGCTTTGCTTGTGTCGTGAGTAAGCATATTACATTTTGCCACTACGAAACACGAGTGCCTGAATGTGAGCACAACTCGTTAAGGATGTGAGTGAGAAGATGCTGCTTTATTGCTAACTAGGCTACTGTATTGACTACTGTAGCTGATGTTAGCGAGCTCCAGAAACAGTGGAACTGTATTTCTCTGACAAAGTAGCATGTTGGCACATGCGGAGAGAAAACCTTGTGTGAGATCAGCATCCTGTGTTCATCTAAAGAGGCAGCCTCCATTACTGAACTACCGATTCTTTTAGCTTTTTATGAAAAATAAAATGTTTTCAAATGTCTTCCTCTGCTTGCTGGTAAATCTTTGGTACTACTGATTTTTTTGCCTCTCTTTTTTCTTCCTTTTTTGCCTTTTTTTTTCTTCCCCCAGTTAAGTGGATATCCATTCACTAGCTCTTGGCATGCTTTTACAACTGCAGTGAAATAAATAAAATGCAAATATTTTAGCACAGTAGCCGAACAACACCTAAATGATGCGCTCTTCCAAGGTACAATAAAAACATCATCAAATATTGGTTTGAAATGTCAGTGAAATCTAACCTGTTGATGCTGATATTTATTCTTTAAAGCAAATATCTGCCGATCAAACATTCATATTTAAAAGCTCAGGTATTTTACATCAACACATTCAGAATATCTAGTATAAGACCAAAAAGAAAGTGCAAGGCCATTTTTACAGAGTGCTGCAGAGGTTCAGCTCCTGTAAGTAGTGGTGAGTTTATTTTTTTAATCAACTAAATATTTCAATATTTTTGTATTTAAAAACAAGTATATTGACCAAAAAAACTATCTATACAAAAAGGCCCAGGATTTACCCACAGCATTGGTGGTAGTAGTAGTAGTATTGGCATGATGTTAATATTAGACACTAATATTAGTAATAGAAATAAAGTGGTGAACTTATTTAGCAGAACGAGCTGTAACCCAGTGTCTGTATCTTTGAGTGGTACTGACTAAAAAATATGACTTTCTTGCTGTCACTGCTTCATGAATCTTTTTTTTTTCTTCCTTTTCATCTTTTTTCAGTGAGTGACTAATGTGTTAACAATTGCATCAGCTTTTTCATCCATAAACATCAACTCTGTGGGAAAAAAACCCACGAAGAATAAACATTAAGCTATAATTATGAGTGAAAAATATTGCTTCTGACGCCATTTAACCCATGTAGGAGCGTCAGTATGACTGCTGTGTATGTAAATGTAGTAAAACAAGTGCTGGAGGAAAAAACTTAAGACTTCATGTATAATAAATTGATAATTGGGCGGAAGTACTCTGCTATGTTAACAATTAATCAAGTGATCATAAGCCCAAATGAAATTAATCTGAAGTGAATAATTACAAACTATACAAAACATTTTGAAGATTGCAAAATACTTAATTTGAGAAAGATATACCAGAAAATGAAGAAAAGACTTCACTGGGAATTATAAAGACACAATGTAGCAAAATTCAGTAGGAGAATTTAAAAGATGCATTATCAAGCAAAATTCTTTGTAAATGGTAAATTTTAATCTACGATTTTTTTATGTTAATTTATGTTCACTTAGAAAATCAGCAAAATAAGGTCGACTAAACTTTTGCATGTCCATTCATGCATTTATAGCAAAACACACTACCTTTTAAACTGAAAAAACTCTTTCTTTCAAGGTCAAATTTGAGCATAAAAAATGTGGTTTGTTACAGATAACTACACTAACTACTGCAATTAATTGCGATGAAGTATTTAAATGATTTGACAGCAAAAGAAAAAAACTAAATTATTTTAGGAGGTTTTGACAATGCAATTTGCCATTGTATAAAAAAGGTGTGCGTGTTTTTGGTAGAATCCAGGCTTAGTTAGAACATGAGTTGTAGTGTAATTTTGTGAGGCCAGGCCTTCTGTATGTGAGGAACTGGGCATGTTTGTATTGAGTAATTTGCTGTCCAATTAACCTTTCCACTATCTGAACAGTATCTGTCGGCTCCTTATTGGGGATTTTGTTTGGTGGCTGAAACAGTGGTTGACATTTTCATTGTCTTATCATGTTCAGTTTGTTAGAAACATTATTACATGTTCAACTGATATTTTTTATGTATTTAATAATGTTAATATTAATAAATATACTTTATTGCTGTCCACACTATGAGGAAAGTATTTCTGAAAGCTTTTGAAATATGTCACTTTGCTCATAGAGGCTGTGCTTCATATTTGTTGATGCTTGTGTTTGTAAGGATGAATCTTAATCCATCCTAAAGGTCATGCAAATGCAAATGAAATGATTAGCATAATATATTCTCATGAGCTGCTGTAGAGGATGTAAGTCTGTGGGGTCACCAGGAAATGAAAGTTACATGGACTTAAAAAATGAACGATAAGTCTTAAAATAGCTTTAAAAAAGTTTTATTTACTGAAGTGTAACACAGTTTGGGGATCTTTATGGTGGTAACTGCTGTTATTCTGTATGGAGTCAGAGTCACATTCCTGACAGCCTTTCTTTCTTATATACTTTCTCTCTTTTTCTCTCTTACTCCTTCTTTCTTTCCTTCTTTCTTTCTTTCTTTCTTTCTTTCTTTCTTTCTTTCTTTTTCTTTCTTTCTTTCTTTCTTTCTTTCTTTCCCCTTCTTTTTTCTTTTTGATTTTTCCACTCCCTCCCTTTCCACTTCCTCCCACTTTTCTCTCCCTTTCTCTCTTCCCTTTTTGTCTTTCTTTCTTTCTTTCTTTCTTTCTTTCTTTCTTTCTTTTCTTTTTCTCTTCCCTCCCTTTGTCTTTCTTTTTTCTTTCTTTCTTTCTTTCTTTATTTCTTTCTTTCTTTCTTTCTTTCTTTTTCTCTTCCCTCTCTGTCTTTCTTTCTTTCTTTCTTTTTCTTTCTTTCTTTCCCCTATTTTTTTCTTTTTTTCAGTTTTTCTCTCCCTTTTTCTCTTCCCTTTCTTTCTTTCTTTCTTTCTTTCTTTTTCTCTTCCCTCCCTTTGTCTTTCTTTCTTTCTTTTCCCTTCTTTTTTGTTTTTGTTCACTGTTTTCTCTCCCTTTCTCTCTTCCCTCTCTGTCTTAATTTCTTTCTTTCTTTCCTTTTTTCACTGTTTCTTTCTTTCTTTCTTTCTTTCTTTCTTTCTTTTAAAATTCAGTCAGGCCCTAATTAAGAACAAAGTGTGTATGTGTGATGTAAATCACTTTCTCTCTCTCTCTCCCTCTCCCTCTCTCTCTCCCCCTCTTTTAGGCATCTGGATAATCATCGTTTGTGGGATCCAAATGAATTTGCAGTGTCCTGCTTCAAGATCATAATGTACTCAATACAGGCAAGACATACACACTCTCTTCCTTCCTCCTGCACTCCCTCTCTCGTTCTGTTCAGCTCCACCCCCTCTTTTCTTTGATTTTCTTGCCTGCTGATCCCAGGTGTTCAACAGCAGCTATTAAAGATAAGAGACAATCGATTCACATCTACAAAAGGTGTTTAAAGAGGTTTGTTTGAGTGTGTGTGGGCGCCGGAAAGAGTGTGTGTGCTTATGTGCATCTGTGTGCTTGCGTGTGTATGTCAGGCTGGGTGTTAGTGAAAGAAGTTTATGTTCTTATGTGAATGTTATCACTGAAGAACATTAAGTCCAGTGTGTAATTTACTAGCAAAACATGACATTGATGCTGACAGTATCAATAATATCAGTAATGTTAGCACATGAGGACACTTTCAGCAGACTACAGTTGATAGAACTTGCGGGAAAACTGGATAAATCAACAAGCAACAAACTGACAAAAGAAACAGTGTAAAGCTTTAGATCCCCTCAGAACAAGATGTAACATAGATATCTCAGACCAAGAGAGATACAGTCGCAGTGGAGATGGCACATGCAGCCACTGTTGCTCTCACTAGATGAAATTTGGCTACTGCGTTTGCCTTATTTTCATGTTCACCCTGCATTCACATGTTTTCATGTTCAGGTTCGAGTTGAGTTGTTGAAAGTAATAAATACAGTTATGCATAAAACTTTGAACACTTCTGGTCAAATTACATACTTTGTTGATTCTCTGTGAAATAAAAGTGAAAATAACTTAACACATCCTCTACAGGGAACAGACCTAAATATGGCATATTGCTGCCATTTCCATGCACAATTTGCAAGTTTAACATATTGAACATAAAAAAAAACAAAATATAAACTTTTACTCAGGTGATATTCTGTTTTATTTTTTCTGTAATAAGTTAACTTCAGCAAATGAACTGTAATTGTGCATTAATTGTGCAGACGTGTGTTCTCTGTAGATGATATGTTAACTTATTTTTACTTAGAAAATCAACAAAACCAAGAGTGCCCAAACATTTGCATGTCCATTCCTGCACGTATACCAAATACACTACGTTTTAAACTGGAAAAAAAAATTTCTTGAGGGTCAAATTTCAAACAAATGCGGTTTGTTACAGTTAACTACACTAATGTGATTAAATGCAATTAATTATTTTAATGATTTGACAGAAAACATAAAAACACCAACATAAAATGAAGTTAGGAGATTTTGACATGGCTGGCTTGTATAACATGTGGAACATGTATGTTTCCACTTAATGACATTGTATAAAAAAAGCTGTGTGTTTGTGTGTTTCAGGCCCAGCACTCTCATCATGTAATCCAGCAGGTGCTTAATCACCTGGACACACATAGTAAGAACACTCCTCGTGTGCGGGCAGGTATCGTTCAAGTGTTGCTGGAGACGGTAGCCATAGCAGCCAAGGGCTCCATTGGTAAGATATGTGTCTGTGTGTGTGCATGTATTTAAGACAGGACGGCTGCTTTGAAGTGTTGATCCTAAATTTTTGATTGAAAAATCATGTTATGCTTTGTTGTTTGTTAGTGATTTTCTTGTCATCTTTTCATTGTTCTGTCATCCTCTGTTTCCTGTCGTCTGAACTCATCATAAATCTTACAGCTTACAAGCCACAAATACCTGAAATCTGTTTCCACTCTGTTTCTACATGCTTTTCTGTTTGTTTTCTCCTAATACATCTGTTTCTCTCTTTTCTCTGTTTCTTTTTTCTGTATTTCTTTTCTCTCTGCTTATTTCTTTTTTCCATTCTTTCTTTTCCCCTCTTTTTGTCTTGTCTTTTCACTGTTTCTTTCTCCTGCCCTTTCTTTCTTTCTGTCCTTTTGTTCTTTCTCTCTTTATTTTCTTTTATAAATATATGTGTGTGTGTGTGTGTGTGTGTGTGTGTGTATACATATTTGTATATCTTTCTATATATTTCTCTTTCTTGCTTTCTCTGTCTCTCCATCTCTCTTTCACTTACTCTTTCATGCTTGCTTTCTTTCCTTCTCTTTTTTCTTTTTCCACTTCTCTTTCATGCATTCGTTTATTCTTTCTATCTCTCTTTCTCTTTCTTTTCTTTTTCTTTCTCACTTGCCTTTTTTCTCGCTTTCTTTCTCACCGGTGTCTCTTTTTCCCTTTTTGCATTCTTCCTCACCCTGTCCCTCTTTCTTTCATTCTTTCTTTCTTTCTTCACCTTCATCTCTCAGGCCTAACAGCTCCTAAAAGTCAAAGTGCTTACACGTTTGTTAATCCACCCTGCACTCCACCCAATCTCTGGTTGGGTAGGTTGCACAGCAGAACCTTTCAAACCTCCAGCCTGTTTCTCTGAGCGTGCTGTTCTGAACTGCTCTTGTTGGGATGTAAAGGGTGTTTTGTGTAGGAGGATAAGCTGGCTGCTTATCAGCTCATGATCACTATTGATTTGCTATTTGATTAGTTAAAGGTTCTGCACAACAGCCTTTTTTCCAAATTCCCAGTCCATCATCGTTTGAGCCCCGGTTGTACAGATAATTGCATCAGTGTTTGAAAATGTTTGAATTGTTTTGTGTGGTGTAGTGCAGAGCTAATTATCAAGATCAAAAGCCTTTATTGAAATGAAATGAAGGGTGACTATAGGGAATACAATGAGAGCTTTCTGTCTGAAGGCCATTATTTCTCAGCTTTGAAGAGGAAAATTGAACAACTCATGACCCTATTGTATTTGTGTGTAACCCAATAGGGAGTCTGTGATTTGTTATTGAATTTCCTGTCTCAGAGGTTAGAAATAATGGTGTTCTTTTATTCACCAATAAAATGTTTCCAAGGCCTGGGAGGAGAGCCAGTGTCTCATCCATATTCATGCTGACACAATTTCGCCTCTTCAGATAAATTGAGGATTTTTGTAAAAAAAAAAAAAAGATATATGTATATAGATGTATGTATAGAGATGTGTATATATAGAGAACCCTAATTACCAGTTGTTGGAGCCATCTGGCATAATATTGACACTGAATGACATTCATGATGCCGTGGTGGACTGGAGGTCAAAAATGACCATGTAGGACATTTGCTTTTGGCTGAAGGTTTTGATGGTTTGCTCTGTTGTTGCCACTTGTCTCCCCCTAGCTGTGTTGTATAGTAACTACACTTGTGGGATAGCTGCTTTCCTTTAGGTTAGGTTATTATGGGACAGTGGTGATTGTGGGAGCTTTTTGTTGCTAAGGAAATTAACTGCAGCATTTTACTTGCATTTACTTTGAGCCATTTACATACGGCATATGTGAACAATATGAAAGTGTGTTACCATGAGTTGTTCTGGAGCATAAGATTTAGCACCTTGATCATGTGAAAGTAGATGAATTGATAGTTAGAGAACAGTTAGAAATAGTGAGAGTCTTGTGCATCTAGTCTAGTCTGCCAAAGCTAGCCTAAAGTTTTGCCTTTAGTATCATCTGGTAATGTTTCCTCACTATCATGTCAAATCTTGTAACTCCATTCTTTACATTTGTTTCTTATTTTTACATCTTTTGTAAAATGACAAGTGCATTTTAGTTTGACCATTCCCTGATGAGTGGACCAACAGAGTGGAATTAACAGAGCTTCCTTCAAGAAATTAAATGTTACATTATTGTACAGTCCTGTACTTTATTTTGAGTTAAAACAGCCATCAAGTGAAAGTTATTCATTTTTAGAGTCAGAATAAAATGAGGAAGCTCTTTTTAACAGAAAATTACACAAAGGCTCAAATCTATCAGTAATTATTTTGTTCAATCTTTACTTCTTTTACCTTCCAAACTTAAAATCAACTAGTTACAGCTGTGTCCCCCCAATAAAAGCAGTTCCCAAAGCTCTCACTGACATTATGTTCTCCTTCGAAGAGAAACTAACGTTCACAACAAACAACTTCTGAATTTAGGTGTACACTAACTTACGTTCATAAGGAAATCACAAGAATAAAGAAAATAAAATTCAAGTCTTATATTAATACCAAGAAAATAAGTGAAAAAACAGAAGTTTTCAAAAACAATGAAGAAAATGGGACTCTTAACAACAAAAGACCTAGAAGACCACCAAACCACTTACTATTAGCTTTCATCTTTGGGAGAGAGGAGAAGATCAAGCTCCGCTCTTGCTTAGATAAAATCCACAGATGTTTCTGTCCATACACAAGAAGACAACACAATGCTGTAGGCCTGCAAGGATGTGTAGCTGTCAAGAAGCTGTTACTGAGAAAAGAAAATAGACAAAAAAGTAGAAAATTCTAGAACATTTTTAATTGAGATTATTTGGATCGTGAGAAGCAGAAAATGCACTTCTAAGACTGAACTTTGGAGGTGTGGAAAAATATCCCTGCAGATTTCTTTAAAACCTAAAGCAAGTCTTCCAAAAATAATGAAAGCTGTAATGAAGGTAAAGGGTGTATACACTAAATACTGCAAAGTTTGATATTATATTTAGTTCTTGATGCTTCAGTGTAATTGTCTGTTAAATATGTCATTTTGGAGCATCACATTCATCATGAAATATTCACACTATGTAAATGACAGCTGCCCCATTTAAATTGTGTAAAAAAAAAAAAATGAATAAAATTTGAAAAAAATAGACAGCAGTGATATATTATCTGTGTTTTTTTCTTGATGCAGAAAAATGAAGAACTTTTGACACTTTGACTGGAAATTAGATAAATGAAAGTGTCTCTGATTTTAGCACAGTACTGTACATTAAAGGTAGTAACATTTTTCCATCTCCCTTATAGTTACCATTCTGGAGATGCAAGGTATTGTTATGATAGTGACAGGGATTAATATGCTCATACACATATGTTTATGTCTGTGCGTGTGTGTGTGTTCCTCAAGGCCCCACTGTGTTGGAGGTTTTTAACACCCTGTTGAAGCACCTGCGTATGAGTGTAGATTTTGAGCTGGGTGAGGGCTCCCGGAGGAATTCTGGTACGAGTCTTTCATCCGGCCGCGGAAAAGAGAACGAGGAGCGCATTGTCCAGAATGCCATCATCCAGACCATCGGTCAGTGAACCTCTCCACTTTCAGCTCTGATCCCTAACGTTACCCTCACTGGGTTAAACTACTTAAGGATCAAAGCACCGACACTTTCTCTTTAGATACCCTCTAATGTTTTAATATATATATTTATATGTTTTTACATATGTTATGCCTGTGTGCCTCTGTGTGTGTTTTCAGGGTTTTTTGGAGGTAATCTACCAGATTATCAGAGAGCTGAGGTGATGATGTTCATCATGGGGAAAGTTCCAGTATATGGAACGCCCTGCCACACTCTGGACACTGTCAAAATCGGGTAAGAGACTGTGTGTAGCTTGTGTGCAAGAAATGGAGACTCCAGGGTGGGGATTTCTGAGAAAACTGTTTTCAGCGTTGGCTTATGGATGGGCAAGTAAGAGAAATGCAAGCAACAATACGCTGACATCATGCTGTTAACTTGCACATGGTTGTTGCTGTTCTTTGAAAATTTGGGGGTTGATAACATTTACAGCTAAATTTATCTTTACTTTTTCATTACACATAGTACATAGAGGTAATTATCTGCTGTGCTCAGTTGTTTTAAAGGTTGTCTCAACTCAATGCTAAAGATGTATAACTTGATCATTAACCAAAGTCAAATTTGAAAGAAAACTCTCTTTAACTCTACAGTTCAAATAGAGTGAAAAGCTAGAAAAACTCCTTCTTTTAAACTACATTACTCTCTCTCTCTCCCTCTCTCCCAGGCACCAGGGTACTAAGAGGATTCAGACGATGCTCCTCAGTTCTCTCATTATGGTACATTTCCTCTCAGTTGTCCTCTTGAACTGTTTGTCTGGCTTATTAACACTGACGTAAGCTCTGGCATCTATGCGTCATGTCTGTCAGTGAACATTAGTCATGCTGCTGTTTGCTAGGTGTGGTGCATTAGTTCTGTAATCTGCTTGTAATGTCTGGTCCTTCCTGTATGTGTGTCTCGGCTTGAGGAGGCGGGCAACAGAGACAAGAGACGCAGGTGTGGACTGTTCGCGCTGCCTCTCTGACATTACAGCCACCCGCTGCGTGTGTGTGTCTGTGTGAGCGAGTGAGCGAGCATACAGCTGCAGCTGGGTCTCATACTGAAGAGCAAAAACCTGTCTGTCAAAACTCACCAGTTTTTGTGTGTGTGTATTTGTATAACTCCTCCTCATCCTTTCTTGCCAGTAATTGTTTTTTAGTTCTGCTTTCTTGCTTGTCACCTTGAACAGCCACTAATGAACCACTGGTTAAAGAACTCGGGGAACAATAATTACCTCGTTTAGGTTCCCTGATTTAGTCATCAGTTGCCATGGAGACGAAACATGTTAATTGTTCTCTGCCAGAAGAGCCTGATTTGCATGTTCTGTCATGGCGTTTAGTTACGGAATGATGTAGCTTTTTTTTTCCCTCCTGTATTGATATGTCATTGTCTGTTAATACTGTAGCGTGTGCATTAGCGAGAGACTCATACAAGACATAAAGGGCGTAATAAAAGGTTAAAATCAGCCTCTACAGGAGAAAGACAGGGTGGGGAACTAATTAAGGCGCTAATCAACGTACCACTGATAAATATCAAAACTACATTTTTGTAAGGCTGCAAGTATCGAATGTTTTCATTTTCAGATACTCAAGAGAATAATGTCTGAAATATTCAAACATTCTTTAAGGATAAGAAAAGCCAAGACATGTTTTACTGCAATAACTGCATTTTATAAATACTTTTTTTATTATTGTGATTTATTTATTAATAAATAAATACATATTTATTTCATTTGCATTTTTAATATAACTTAACAACAAAGTGATGGAGGAAAAAAGAGGAAACAGTCTTTGTAACCATCAGCATAAAAATGAAACCCACCTTAAAAACTTTGTACACACGCTAAACCAAGGTCAGCTTTAACGGCTGGTGCAGTCTGAATAATTTTCGTGGGCAGCTTGTTAGCCAGCTCACTGTCATGTATTCTCTGTAATAAATGCGACTGAGACCATGCTAGCTAGTAATACAGAACATTAGGAAACTTATTTGAACTGCATCTGGAGTTGCATCACCAGTACTGTGGCCACAAGTCTCACAAGTTACGCCAAATCACAACCTCCAGTGAGTCCAGACTGCAGACCTGGAAGTGGATGGGTTTTCCTCCAACCTAAGTTTAAACATTCCTTCACCCAAGTGATGTCTTGGCCTTAGGCAGGCAAGGATGTAAAGTAGGCAGGCATGAAATAAACCGCGTGCTACTGGTGGCAGGCTACTACACCTGGTTAATAAACATGGTACTTCTTTTTTGGTGTAAAGTGGTGTAAAGATGTCTACACTGGAAATACAAATGTGTGCATCAAGTCAAGTCATAAAAAGTCACAGACCTATCAGAAAATAGCGGTCTTACTGCCAGAGCTGTCAAGCTGTGGTTTGGGGCAAAGTTGGAATAGCACTATACCACCTTAGTGTTGGGCAAGCTCAGTATCTGCTAACTTGCATTTGCTAAGTCTCCTTTAGCTAACTAAACTTCCAGCACTCTGGCAATTTCTCTCCAAGTTGTTTACTGGAGGGGTCGTTGAGATCTCTCCTTTTTTCCCACTTCATGGATGAGTTTCACAGCTGGTTTAGACAGCTACATTCTGAGCATTTTCGTTTTGTCATTAGAACAAAATACTGTTAGAACATGGAACTTTATAGGCAGAAAAGGAAATTAAATAAAAGGTTTATATACGTTACCTTCAAACTTCTCAAGTAATGTCCTGCATTCCAGAGTTTGCATGGTTAACCTATTAGCTCACTGCAGCTAATGTAGTCCAAGGCGAGCGCATTCTGATTGAAAAATCCGCTGCACACTGTCCCCTCCTCCCCTTCCCTTGGCATTTTCTGTAACACGGGTGTGACAGTGCACTTTCGAGGGGTAAGGCAAGTGACGTGATGGCCAAAAAAAGTATTGAAACCATAGCAGTGGAACTCACCTGTATGGTGTAGTGCGTGTCCTGTAAAACTCATCTGAGTGGCTGAGCCATGTTCAAGCTGACATACACATGACATGAATTGAACTCTATTTTAATGCATAGCTTTAATGTATTTTAAAGTTATTAAAAATTCTTGTTATGTTGACTATTATGTTGCTTGACAGCCATAGCCTACTGTTAATGAACTACTTGGTTGAATAGTTATTCATTGCAATTATTATTAATAATTATTTATCAGACTGTATGTGTGTTATATTTTATGTTGGTGTAACTGAATATGTTATCTGATTAGTGATCACATGCTTCTGTTTGTGCAGGTGACGTCTGGTTTTAAGTGCAAGACGATGAGTGCGGGTTTGCCAGCAGCGTTTCTGGAGCCCCTCTGCTCCATCTCTCTGATGGAGGACAGTGAGCTACGGCAGCTTGTTCTCGAGATCCTTCACAACATCATTGATCGCCATGACAACCGAGCCAAACTCCGCGGCATCCGGTACGTTTCCATTCTTCTAGTTATGTATGTGTTTGTGTTTCAAAGTGTATGTGCATGAGTTCTGTTTGAGCTTATCTGTGAGTGTATGTCTGTTTGTGTGCATGTTTGAATTATGGATGTGTTATAGAAGTGCTCAGCTAAAAAAACAGCTGCACACAAGCCTGAGATCACTGTGTGCAATACCAAGTGTCAGCTGTAGTGGTCTAAAGCATACCACCGCTGGATTCTGGTGTAAAATGTGTTCTCAGGAGTAATGAATCATACTTCACTATCTGGCACTCTTATGGACAAATCTGGGTTTGGTAGATGCCAGGACAGCGCTACCTACCGGAATGCATAGTGCCAATAGTAAAGTTTGGTAGAGGAGGGATAATGGTCTGGGGTTGGTTTTCAGGAAACATTTTAGACATTTATATGCTTCCAACTTTGTAGCAACACTTAGTTTCCTGTTCCAGTCCATAAAGACATGGTTTGCCTGGTTTGGTGTGTGTGCAGTGTTTGTGCAGTGACCTGCACAAAGCGCTGACCTCAACCCCAGTGAACACCTTTGGGATGAATTCGAACATTGATTTTGAGCCAGGCCTTCTCATCCAACATCAGTGCCTGACCTCACAAGTGCTGTTTCGACTTTATGGGTACACTCCAAAGCCTTGTGGAAAGCCTTCCCAAAAGAGTGGAAGGTGATATAGCCACAAATGGGTGTCCAACTTCTTATTAATGCCCATGGATTTGGAATGAGACAAGCTCATGTAGCTGTGCCGGTCAGGAGTGCACGTATGTTTGGCCATATAGGGCGCTGAAGTGTAGCCTGTGTATAGGAAATCCTTCTGTAGCACAACTAAAACGGTGTACCATATTTGAAAGTAAGCATCCACAAGAGATAAGACAGACAACAGTTTTGCTCATATTCTCCAAGAGAAAGTGTGATGTGAGATATGAGGAAATCACACATGGCTGTGTGGAATCATAGAGAGGTAGATGGGGGGGTGGCAAGAGCTCTAGAGATACACTGAGCTAAAGCTAGCACTGGTCATGGCATTTATGTTTGTTTAATACATCTTTAGTACTTAGAATTTAGACTTTCAGTAGTCCACCATTATATATTCCAGTCTTTTTGTCAACTTATAAGTTTTGGTTATATATTCATGACCATTTAAACAAAACTTGGTTCTTGCGCAGGGTGTGTTTAATATGGTTTCAGACTGCTGTCATATACACGCATATGCCTGGCCTCAGTACTATGTTCTCTGTGCATTAATATAGAGTTTAACAGATGTGTTTTAAATGCGGCTCAGCCAATAGAATCGGAGCTCACCCGGAGTCAAAAGAATTTGCTAAAATTTGCATTCCCTATTTTGTATATTTCTGTATTATATATCTTTGTGTGTATAATTTCTATCTATCTATGTGTAATAGCAAGGTCTCTATTCTGTCTTCTAGAATTATTCCTAATGTGGCTGCTCTGAAGATAAAGAGAGAGAAGATCTCTAAACAAGATGTCGTTTTCATGAAAAAGGTACAAACACACACACACACACACACACACACACACACACACACACACACACACACACTCACTCACTCACTCACACTCATTTGCTTGCTTCTTCTCAAATACTGCTGCTATGGAAACCAATGAAGTTCTCAGGAATAGTTCCAGAACCTCACAGCTAGAGAAATAGCTCTGAAATTATGTATGATTCTTTAATGAAAACTCTGATGACTGTTTAATTACTGTTTAATTAAAACACAAATGATTAAAAACAATTCATTAGGTTTTGAAGGCATAGATCATTCATGCTTTTACATTGTAATGTAAGGAGCAACTTTCTTATATTTTATAGTTTCTTTAGACCAGATATGTGTCTCGTTCTCTCTCTCTCTCTCTCTCTCTCTCTCTCTCTCTCTCTCTCTTTCTCTCACTCCCCCTCTCTTTTTTGAGATATATATATATATATCTGAATTGCAGTGACATAGTTTTTATTATGAGCGTGTCAGTCTGCACAGAACTGATCTCTGAAGTGAACATCATTATATTTAAGCAATTGAACACGAGAGGGAGTGTGTTATCGTGTACGTCACGGCTGAAATTTGGTCGCTGATCATCACAGCCATGATGTTATTCACGATAACACACGACCTTGAGTGTTCTGTTGCTTTTATACAACAGTTAAATAAGTACTAACTAAGCCATAAAATGGCCGCAATATCAAGTTTAGCTCAGTGTTGTCATTTTTTGCTAGATCAGTATTAATGTTGTTTTGTTCCAGCCAGTCTTTAAAGTATTTTACAGCCCATTTTGTTTGGCGAATGGTATTCAGTTCATTCCAGGTTGTTTAGGTGTTCTTCTGTCACAGCTGCTGACTAAAAAGGTTGCTCAGTGGTAACGACAGTTTCGGAATTTAGTGTTATCTCATCTTGAGAGTCTGACCAAATCAGCTGTAGGTTAAATGTAATCTTAAAAGTATCCATTTTCTGTTTGTGCACAAAGTAAGCAGTAAAAACGTTCAAATGGCTTGAGCGTCTCCTAAAGCTGTCAAAGTCGCTGCCTAGCAACAGTGTATCATCAGAGTGATATAGTGTTTGTGAAAAAAACATGCTGTTATGGTTAACAGCACGGTTACAACGCTTCTCAACCAATCAGCTTGCATGCCCGGAACTAACTGTTGTATAATATACAATTCCTCATTCCTCATTCCTTTAAAGGCACGAAAACTGACCATTTGACTGGTATTCTATTCTGGACCTTATGGTCTGTCATAAACTTAAAATTATACAGATGCTTTAGCATTAATACTGTAGTAAAATAAATGAATAAAGAATAAAACAACACTGCAAGTAAAGAACAGAATAAAGAAAAATCAGAAAATTAAACAAATTCCACATTAATATCTATTTTTCTCTGTCCCTCTGTAGCATGGGCAGCAGTTGTACAGGCATATCTATCTGGGCTCTAAGGAGGAAGATAACGTGCAGAAGAACTTTGAGCTTCTCTTCACTGCACTGGCTCTACTTACTATAGAGCTGGCCAATGAGGAGGTGGTCATAGACCTCATACGCCTTTCCCTCGCGCTGCAGGTACACACACAGACACATACACAAACTCTGGTGTTAGTATCTTTATTGGAGTTTACTGTTGAATTTTGCATGAATAAATTATTAGTGAATAAATTACAGTTACTTAGAAAAGAACTGACTTTTATAATGATAACAAGTATAACATCACATTGCTTAATTCCAAAATGACACTATGGCAAAAAAGTTGCACTTGGTGCTCTGGAGAGCGAATCAAATATTAAGTTCAACACAGCTTCAAATAATGAGCCTTTCGTTATAGAAAAATATTTAATCTGAAGGACTGCTACAAGCAGTAAATGTGGTGTTTTAAGGATGTTGTATGTTTCTACAGCATATAAGCTAGTTAGCTTGCAAATTAACTAACCCAGCTGAAACTTTAGTAAGTTTTAAAGATATGTGATCTGTAATTTACTAAAACTTAAGCAAGATCAGGTGAGAACTTGACCTGTAATAGCATGTATGCTAGCTAGCATGCTTGCTATCCAAACTAAATGGTGGCCAACAATTTCAAATTGAAAAAGAGTAAGGAACAGGCAGGAGAAAGCAGTTTTTATGCATTTTGTTAGCACAGAAATACTACACAAAACCAAATCCCCTGCAAACTGTGTAAGACTATGTTGAAATACAGCCTCAGGAGTTAGATTGTCTAAGTTTTTTAGAATCTCAGTTTGACCGACATGCAGAATGACCAAGTACAAATCACTGTTTTTGTGCACCATAGTACACTGGCAAACCTGTAGTCTGTACAGAAAGCTGTAGTATTCACACTCCTCTATGCACATACATATGCAAAATCCCAATCATAGGGTAGGATGAAAAATAAAATTGGACAAAGAGCCAGTTTCATGTGTTTTGCGATTAGTGGTGATGCACACATTTAACTTTTTTTTTATTGTCTGTTATTATTTTTTTGTCTATGCTGTAATTGACTGTAGGATATGGCTCTAGCCAATGAGGAGAACATGCCGATGTTTATTCGTTGTGGCATCATGGCACTAGTAGCGGCCTACCTCAACTTTCTCAGCCAAATGATCGCCAACCCTGCCTTCTGCCAGCATGTGAGCAAGGTGCGTGTGCACACACATATACACACAGAGGTTTACTTCTCATTCATTTCTACACCCGTGAAGTCTTACACTGACCTCACAGGTTTAGTAATAATGGGGGAGCTAGCGCATCATGTTGTTATCGTCAGAAGTCCAAATAAGGAGCTCTGGGTCTATGCTATTTTTGTCTATGGGGGAAAAATGAATCCCAGTTTTGAAAATCATCATTATGCTAACCCTCCAGGAATTTGCAATTTTGCATTTGTGAGAATTCACGCAAATTCAACTAATCCTCATAGTATTTACTAGAGGTCATAATTTTGACCAATCACCACATTTTGTCTGCATTAAATATGTAAATCTTTGAAGTGGTTTCAAAATGAAGCATGGAGGTCATGCTACATACCTTCACATCTGTCTGGATTTTGTCAGTTCCTTTCCAATTGCATATCCACACATCCGTGTTGCAAGTTGCAAGCAGTCTATGTGCTGTGACTAAGCCTTTTGTGTTGCTGTGATGACTGACGCAAAGCACATTAGCTACTGGGTTCATATGAGTTCAAAGTCAAATTTGAATACAATTCCTCATATTTCCTGAATATTCAGATGTTCTGTAAATAAGTTTATTTAGGGAACAAGTTCAGTTGGCACGTGCATAATCAATCAAAACTTTGTTGTAACAGAATTATTTAGTTCGAGTTCAACAACTATTTAAACATGTCACTTCCAAAAATGTGTTCTAGATATTTTGACTTATTTGTTAAAAATCTGTCAGGTACCGTACCAAAAGGTTAATGTGTTCAAAATTTGGCAGACATCTTCTTTTGAGGCCCCACATATATTACAAATAGAGGCCATGCTGCTGTTAACCACGGAGGACAATGGGGCAGTTTTCAAAAACATGGTCTATTTTCCCCATAGACAAAAACAGCTTAGACCGAGGTCTCGTCCAGATGCTGGTGACAAACTACGTACTGACAGCAAGTCCTCAGTGGCCTGTAAGTGAACATTTGTGAGGACCAAAAGCTCACACACAAATACAGCACCTGACTTCCCTTCTCCTCTTTGTAGGTCATTGAGTTGAGGAATATGGACGCTCCCTATTTGCTGCCTGAACACGTGTTCCGAGAGAAGTGTGTGTAAGTATGCAGAGAGACGGGTGTGTGCGCATGTGCATATCAGACTATGTGTTCATAAGTTGAAATGTTTGCATAATTTCTAGAGGTAGGAACAAATAAAAAATTCTTAGATGAACTGCAATTCTCTTTTGAAATATTCTGATCAGATTCACATCTGAATAAATTCACAAAATGTCTTAACACTATTAAGTACAATACTTAAGCACAGCTGGGCTTGGAGGAGGAAAGAAATATAGGATCTCATTGATGCGTGCATGTTTGCAGTCACAAATGGCTCACAAATATCTTGTATACGAAGTAAAAGGCCCAAAACTGTAGTAAACATACCCTACATGAGAATGCAGCTTTGTTTAACAATCAGCTTAGGACATTGCTAACCAACTAACAAACAAGCTATTCCAGTAATATTCTGGGTTAGACTTTAAGTTTAAATATTTACTGAATGATTTACTGTAAAGCTGCAGTATACAAAAGTACAATAAATATGCTGGGGGTTCCTAGAGTGCAGCATAATGTCTGAGCAAAATTCTCAGCATTTTCTGTTCAAGTATGTCGATCATTCAGATGAGTTCTTTATTTATAAAAAAATAATAGTTTCCCACAGGCATCTGTAGCTGAATTCCAGAGCTCATGTAGTAGCCTAAAGTTTCATTGAAAGAATAAGAAGTGAAAGTTTTTAAATGTTTTTTTTACTTAATATTATAGTATTTCATGTGATTTTTATCTGATTCGAATTAAATCAGTTAATATTAAAAATATAATGCATAAAGTAGATCTAAGCTGCAGCAAATCTTGTTAGCAAAAAATACAGGAGAAAATTTTAAGCTGTAGAAATCAAAAATGGAAATGCTTCAAGATGCATAAAGATGCATAAAGAATTGTTTTACAGTTGTATCTTGGCATAATGAATACTAAATGATTCGGTGGGGGTTCCTAGAGATTCACAGCCCTAGTAATTTCATAAATCTACAGTTTTGTTGATCATGTTTTAAGATAAACTCAGTTATGATGTGTTCTTTAAGTATTTTTGTGCATGTGGTTGTGTGTATTTTTGTGTATTACAGGCTGCCTGAGTCTCTGGACCGTGATGACAGTGGCATGTATTTTCAGACGGCTGACATTGCCGACGCTCTCTCTGGACCTGGATACAACGCAGAGAGACTTGCTGTGCCATATGTTCCACAAGTTACAGGTACACATGCACACGTATAGACTGTATTCTCTATAACACCAGATTGTACTTTTTTACTGTAATAATATGGTGATAATATGCTAAACTCTCTCTCCCAAGACCCTTATTTTGATGACAGAAGCTGTATTTACAAACACCTCAACCAAACAGTGTACCATGGAATCAGTATTTTAACCCTAGAAAGACACGTGTAAAATAATTCTAATATGTTAGTCCTGCACAAGTTCAGAACTTCAGCTGTGTATGTAAGTTGACTGAAAGATGTGTGGATTGTCCCAGAATGCATTTCGTTCTTGTGTAAAGCTGTGACATTTATTTTTTCCCCAATTGTCCTTGCAGCAAGGATTTTACTTGAGAGTGTCTAACATATATTTGGAAACTCATTCACGCCAAGTAGAGGAGAACGATCACCTATGGTTTGTTTCTCTTAAAATGCCGACTTAGTTTCTAGAAATAATTACTTAATTTCACAAAATATTGACTTAGTATCCCAAAATATGCCATAATTACTTACTTTAATTACTTACTATAATTACCTACTTTCTCATAATAAAGAGTTACTTTCATGAAGTATTGATTTCAGCATCATGACTACAGCATCATGAAAAATTTACTTTGCATCTTGAAATATAACACTGATTTTGAGATTCTCTGTCAGAACAACGAATTATTACATTTCAAGGATGTAATTTATTATTTTCAGATAATAGGACATTATTACAAAATGAGTCATTATTTTGAAATAGTGTGAATATTTTGAGGAAATAAGTCAATATGTTGACATAGTAAGTAAATATTTTGAGGAAATAGGTCATTCTGATCAAGTAAGTAAATATTTTAAGGAAATGTCATGATTTCGATATATTGGGTCAAGATTCTATGAAACTAAATCATGATTTTAAAAATACTACGTCAATATTTTGTAAAATTAAATCATCACTTTGATATATGAAGTCACAATTTTGACATACTGCTGCCAGAAACAGAGAAGGACAAAAAAAAAAGTTGTATTTTTTTTCCCTCTCCATTGGATAGGACTGAGCTTCCATAGTAATATTTTTAGGGCTGCAAGTCACAACTGTTTTCATAATCAGTTAGTTGGTCCAGTATTACTTTGATTAATCACTGAATTGGGAAACAAAAATTTGCAGATATTAGTCTGGTAATAATGTTTCGTTCTCCCAATTACAATACAAGAATTATTCTTCATAAACATCTACATAAAACATGAAATTGTGAATCATATTATCTAAAGGGTTTTTTTCAGTGTCACAGCAGCAGATTTTCTGCCTTGCTCTTGAAAACTCTTTTTGAATGCAGCGAAAATAATAAAAGAAACAAAACAAGCAAATTTTACATGGTAGTCCAAGGCTGCTCTTCTGTATTTCTACTCTAATGATAAAGCAGAAATTAATGAAATATCTTCAGTGTGGTTGATACCAGCATGTAATGAAATCTGACATTGCAGATCACTGTCCAATCATCAGCCACCTTCAGCTTAAGACCTAAGGGCAGTTCAGCACACATAGAATGGCAAAAATCATGCATGTGGCCTCTGGGTTTTTAAATATCAACATTTTTATCAGTCCATATTCAAACACTGAAAGCAGAGTTTTAAAAAACGCCAAAAAACATCCAAACTGCAGTTTCTACTGTGGATGTAATGTGTATTGTCTCATATTCTCGCGCCTGGTAGTTGCACTGCCTGCTGAGCTCGGTTTGACATATCACACTGGAAACGTCTTTTTTTGTCGACATTAAAGTAATATTATTTCATTGTTTTTATTTTTTGGTTTAGGTGCAACACTGCGCTTCCGTTTGCGCTGTCTGCATTACTATTTCAATCATGTGATGTAAATGAGACATCCAAACATCAGTAAGCCAATCGATAACATGATTCGTTGCCAGCTATTTTTAATTATTGACAGTAATGATAATGTAGGTTACTTGTTGCGGCCCTATATATCTGTTTATCCATTTATCCAACTAAATAGAAATAAAAGGTTAGAAAAGCTGTAGCTGTTAGCTACAAAATCAGATGCACATTTGTTTGTTGGTCAGCGTTCTGTTTTATGGTGTTTCAAGCTATCCCAAATCTGTTCTCTCTCTTTTTTTGTGTGTTTGTACGTGTCTGTTATATGTGTGTATGTGTGTGTGTGCCCGCACACTCACCGTAGTGCTTTATACAGTAGGGAAGATTCTGCATAGATGCAAACAGACGTCCAGAGGTACACATGGTGTAGTAGCAAGGAGAAGTGTGTGTGTACGTGTGTGTGTACGTGTGTGTGTACGTGTGTGTGTACGTGTGTGTGTACGTGTGTGTGTACGTGTGTGTGTATATGTGTGTGTGTACGTGTGTGTTTATACTTTGGATGTTCCTGTAGTATTTGCACAGTAGTTGATACAGGTAGGCCCTTAGTTACCTGAACCCTGTGTTACTTAGCAACCATAGTCTCAGATATAAGTAACCATAGTCTCAGTCTTGTACCTGGCAACCACAGCAGGTGTGCTGTAGCTGTATCTGCTAATGTCCCTTTATTGATGGTCAGTCCAGTCTAATCCTGGAGGGCCACAGCCATGCAGAGATTAGGCATAATGATATAGCATATTTTGAATTCTCTTACTGCTCTCTCTTACAGTAAGAAACAGAGTCTGGTAGACACCTTATTTAAAATACTGTGCTGAAGTCAGAGACCACCCTTTATTTATTTAATTTCCAGCCAAAATAACCATTAAGTACAGGAGTTCACATAATGATTAAAAGTTACAGAGAAAATGGTACTCCTAGCAGCCATGTAAGACCTGGTAGACCACCAAAACTGTCACCATCAGATAAACAGTACTTAAAGCTTTCATCTTTGAGAGAGAGGAGAAAATCAAGCTCCACTCTTACTTCAGGTTAGAAAAATTCTCAGGTGTTTCTGTTCATGCTTCCACTGTGAGAAGACAACTCAACACTATGAGTCTGAACGGATGTGTAGCTGTTACTGAGAAACGGAAAAAGACAGCAAAGACCATCATTTTCAATAACAACAAGAAGCTGCTGGTATTTACCGAACAGTGGACCTCAGCTTCATTGAAAATGTTTGGGATAATTTGAATCATGAGATGCAGAAAATCAACTTCTAAGACTGAATTTTGGAGGTGTGACAACATATCCTTGCAGATTTCCTTGGAAAACTGAAAGTAAGTCTTTGGGAATAAATCGAAAGTTTAAACAGGCAATGAGCAGCACACTAAATACTGAAAAATGGCTGTTTTGGTTGGAAAATAAATAAATGAAGGGGGGTCTCTGAGTTTTGCACAGTACTATACATGTTTGCAGTATTTTTATGCATTCTGTAGAGAAAAATATTTAACAGTATCTTTTTCGAGTCAGGTGTTTAGAAATCTTTGAAATTCAATGCATCATTTGCTATTGTTCAGTTCTATTTTATTGTTTGCCCTTTTATAACTATAATGAGTTAATATTTATTAAGATGAATATGTATTAATAATAATAGTTTTATTGCTAATAATAGTAATAATTATTAGTTTAATAATTAATATTTTCCTTCTACTAAAGCTGCAATCACCCTGAATGCAAGTAATATCTACCTGATAGACAATTCACTTGAAGGGGAAAGCATACAGAAATGCAAAAAAGAATTCAGTTCTAGTAGCCATTCATTTTTATTTGTGCCAGGTTCATCTGGGTGAACTTTTAACCCCTTGGAACTGTGAGCCAAAATGTTGCTGTTTTCATAATAGAAAGAAACTATCTGCTCATCAGTTAACATAATGTCATTTGTGGCTCAAAAGTAAAAAAAAAAAAAAGAAAGAACTAGCTAATGTCGGCTGCTTAACAGTAATCTTAACATGCCAAATCCTACTAATGACATCTGTAGGCATTAGCTGTTGAGCTGTTGAGCTGTCGAGAGTCAGGAGTGTTCGATGAAGTAGAATGCTGAACTCTGCAGTGCCATGGCCGCCAGAACTGGAGTCTAACACCCCTAGAGCCTAGTATGAAAATGTTTAATGATGAAGCAGTGCATGTTATGTAATAAATCTAAACGATTTCAAATGTGGTGTTTATGCTGTAATTATTGTGCTCTCCCTCGGATTGATGACCTGGTGAGTCTAGTGGTAGTAGTGATTAGTGATTTTTGGTTTGAGTTCCTACTTTAGTGATTACTTAATTAAACTCGGTTTAAAAAATCTTTGATTGCAATGTACTTTCAAAATCAATCTACAGTAAATAGTTGGACATCTGAGTGATGATAATGCATATTGCAAATTCACCTACTGGTCTCTTTGACCACACCCATTTATTTGCATTTTTCACATGTAATGGTTTTGTATTGTTTATATTGGTTTAATTTTATGTTCATATTACTGTAATTTATCAAAAAGGTTAAGTTCATTTTTTAAGTTCATTTTTAGTTTTTGGACTTTTAAAGACTTGAGTGATATAATCAATCTAATAATCTAATATAATCAATATTGACATTTGATATTCTTTGTTTTTATGTGGTATTAATATATTAGTTTAAAGGAAAACACTGAATTTTAAACATTACTAAGTGGTTAATTAAGTTTAATAACAATATTTAATTGCATTTTTAAATGGTTAAGATGTTAAGATGTAAACAAAGTCATTCAGAGTGGTTTGATGTGAAATACTCCATTCTAGGGAAACTTAGTGAGTAGGCATTGTTCACAGTGGTGATGATATGAACAAGATATCTGAAGCAACGTTTCTAAAAGCTCCCTCACAGATTGTTATTACATAAAATGGTTATGAATATGTTGCCTGATGCCTGAGACATTGTTTTAGTTAGTAGTTTTGGGAAAAGATTTTGGCTTAAAACTTATTTTACAGCCATTCATGGTGGAAAAGTGCATGCAGGCTGTTATAAGGCAAAATAGTACCCAAAGAAAACTTTTTTACCACTAATTTACCATGATCAACATATAAAAACTCAGAGGATTTTTTGGGCTCACTGGGCAATTTGGATTGTAAATGAAGTGGAGATTGAGTTGTAGACATCATGACCCCTGGTTCCTATCAGCACCACTGTTAAAGAACGAATGAGTGAATGTCTGAATGACATCTCAGCAATTTAATTAGGCAGGAACTTAAGGCATCCCCCTTTTGATTGATGCAACTGTGACATTTTTGATTTGTCACAAGGGTATCGAAATTCAGTATTTTTATGGTACGGACTGAATTACTTCCATACTACCGAGTATCAAAAAATACTGTCATTCAGTACCAAAATTCAGTACCTAAGAAGTGAGTCTTAACAGCATCCATAAGCCAACAAGCATGCTTGTTCTAAAATCTAGACCACTGATTGGCTGTCTAAATTGCATTCCACGTGTATGTCATTAATGTCAGTCCTGCTTGATTAGCCTGTGATCCGTTGCGGTCAGTAAATTTATTCATATTCTCCAAATTACACTCATTTATGAAGTAAAGCAGCCACTTTCAGTTTAGAAGAAAGTATCTAAACAGAAAATTTTTGACCAATACCCAGCCCTAGTCACAAGTGATCATGAGTCCCTGAGTGATGTGATGTCATATTCACCTCTGACCCGCAGATGAAGACCGGCTGACTCGGAGGAAGAGTTTTGTTGACACCATCTCACTTCAGGTGGACATCCTGTCCAACAGCTTACCTGACCAGGTACAGACTCATGCACATACACATACACACCAAAACACATTTATAGTTATTTGCATAAATTATTAACAGCATACATTCAGTAAATTACTTAAGAGCTGTATGTTTGTGCTCTAGTCAACGCTGGCAGAAGAGATTACCTTTGAGACTCTGAAGAAGGCCATTGGTAAGTTTAGCTGTCTGACTGTATGTACCTACAGCTCTCTTTCTGTGTGTATTTGTGTGCGTGCATGCATTTATGACTCTTTCTTTTCCTTTTTTTGCATCCTCTCAGACACCACAGGTCTGGAAGAGCAGGAGAGAGAGAAGAGGCGGCAGGTGATGGAGAAGTTTCAGAAAGCTCCATTTGAGGAGATCGCTGCACACTGCGAGTCAAAGGTGTGTGTGCACGTTTATTGTAGTATAGTTGCACGTGACAACTTTTTAAAACACCTTCACAGCTGACTTTACAGCTATATCTGAAGTCAAAGTAGAAAATGCACATTTCTCACTGTCAGAAAGGCTTGTGGGGGTGTCACAAAGAAGCTTTAAAATAACCCTATATAGGATACGTAATTGCATGCAATGTAAGAACATTTTGTAACATCGATTGTGCTTTGGACCCGCACAAGTGGATGAATCTGATTTTTGTGAGTGGGTTGAAAGAGTATTGAAAGAGAACTCAGTCAAAACTCATTGAAGGATGTGTCTTCCACAATTTACTATTGTCATCATATCTATATGAGTATAATGTTATTTTGCATTGTAGACCTAAACATCGAGTCAGGCCTAAAACGTTTAGTTCGTGCTAAGCAAATAAAAGTCACAAAAAAACTTTGAACACAGAAAGTCTACTTGACCTTAATGCTGCAAATGATGCTGAAATGATGTCAGCATGCTCATCAGAAATGAAAGTGCAAAAGTTACACTTTTGTCCAGAGGCACTCTTTTTCTGCACAGTTTAGTATTTGCCCTGCTCTCACATGATTTAGCAAATAAAAGACTTGTTAATTAGCTTGTTTAATCGGCAGTGTCAGTATGCTAGAATGTAGCACCTGTAGCTTCATTCACCTTCGCTCTAAAGAGGCTCTGTTGTACAGAGCACTATTAGTATCTGTATTAGGCTGGTGGCCAATGGAATGTATCAATGTGCGACAATTTTGGAGCATTAGTATTTGACAATTGGTGAGATGAGGGTTTTTTTTTTTCCTTCTTTCTGTTTAGGCCAACATGCTGCATGATCGCTTGGCTCAGATTTTTGAGCTAACCATACGGTGAGTTCCAGTTTCATCTGCTGATTAAAAATGTTCTTTATTTTAGAAAATCCTGTTTATCTGGTAATATGAAATATGATTAGTCTCTTATCCTGTTCATCTCTCTGCAGCCCACCCCCGAGCCCCTCAGGAACAGTTACTGTGACGTCAGGCCATGCCCAGTACCAGTCTGTGCCCGTCTACGAGATGAAATTTCCCGATCTCTGCGTCTACTGACCTTTAATCCTCACCGGATCATAACCACTCAACACTTTGACCTTCACTAGATCACAGTCACTCACATTTAAGCTTTGACCTTCACCAGATCACAGTCAATCACCATTAAACCTTAAACTTAACAGCCATACACTTAAACATTCACTGAATGGGTCAGCAAAATTCTAATTTACTCAGTGTTCTACTTATCCCAGACGTAGTTGATCAGCCAAGACATGTTTGGTGTCCAGAGTTTGATTTTTTTGTCTCTCCAAGAATGAGTACTTCCTTCACTTATTTTCTGATATTTTATAGAATATGTTTGTAAGGTCACAGCTCTTCCGCCTGCCAGTGCTCACACTGCTCCGTTTGATTGTACACCAGTTCTGGTTTGAGTGTTGTTTGGATCTCATCCTAGCCTATCAGCGTTTGCTTGGCACAAAGCTACGGACATTTGCACAACACATAGTTGAGATTTTGGTGTGCACAGTAAACCCATTCTCTGCATCTTGATACAGAAACATTTATATGCATTCAGTACATGAATACAGAACATAAATCAGTCTCGTGCTGTGCCCTAAACCGATGAGGTGTGTCCTTATCGAAGAACTTGATGCAGTGTGAGTGGGTTGAAATATGTTTGGGGGAGTATCAATCCAAAGGATTTGGGTGATTATTGATTTCTAGTGTTTGTTAGCCTTGTAGCTCAAGTTTTAAACTAAATAAACAAAATGTAGACATCAAACATGGTTAGGCTGATGAAGTCTGGGAAAGTGGAAGATTGTGTAAATTAGATTTTTTGCCAAACCATTCCCTTAACGTTTGACCCCTAAACTTTATCACTAATCTGTTTTTTCAGCACATTCTTACAATACTTCCCAATACTTTAAACCATAAACATTGACCACTGATGGTGGCAGAGATGCCCCTCACATGTATGTCCATCTGCCGCTGTGCTGTTTAAGACAATAAGTGACTGTACTAGAGTCTTCAGCATGTCATTCTGCTGTAACAGTGCTCAGTACATTTAGCAGCTCTTCAAACGTACACCAGCTCCACATTAGGTGTGTTTGTGTATGTGTGTGTGTGGGGGGGGGTTAACAGGTTTTAATTGTATTGGTTCATAGGCTGCGAGTCATTTGAAGCCCGCTGTCTCTTTGTGAATCATAGCCTCAATGGTTCTTGTGTTCCACTTAAATAATATCGTTTACATGACTCATAGTGACTCTGAATAGAACTTAATGTGAACCAAGAGACTTAATATTTCTGTATGATGTAAGCATACAGACATTGTCACAAACTCTCTCTCTTTCTGAATGTAAGGCTAGTTTGAGCCTCAATAGCACACAACTCTGTCCCTCAGACTATGTGAATTGTCACCACAGTCCGTGCCCTTTCCACATACTTGATCCACAACTGACTGAGTTCAGTACCTTCAGGGTGTGAACTAATAACTTGTACCACTAAATGTCAAGTAATGGCATTCAGTCTACAGGGATTCCCAGCCCGTCCATATTGTTGTCCTTTTCCAGGTCCTAAAACACCTGAATTATTCCTCGATTACCTAGGCTTGGTGTGGCTTGAGCTGGAATACGGACTTGGTGAAGTTATCAAGAACAGGGTTGGACATTTCTGAATTATATTTTGTACACAGACTGTATTGGGGGAGTGCACTCTCCCTCTTAAAATCATTTTATATATGTTATATAGTAATGCACAAATTGTTACTGGGTCTGCACTTTTTAGAGGAGATTAATGATGATCATGGTGGTTATGTCATCAATGAAGCCCCAGTCAGACTCATCGGAATGGCTACTTGCAACCACCACTTAAAGTATGCGCACACATAGACTACTGTGCAAAAGTCAGAGAACACCCATCATCTATTTAATTCCTGGTCAAAAAGTTAATTTTGGAATTACGAACAAAATGAAAATATGTATATTAACAGAAAATTACACAAAAGCCTCAACAAGTATAATGTCAGAGTATTTAGCATGTCCATGTTTTGCCTTTATTACAGTTTCCATTCTTTTCAGGAGAATTGCTTTCAGTTTTTCAGAGAATGTGAAAGTTCAGTCTTAGAAGGTGGTTCTGAGAACTTCAATAGCTTTTGAATTTACATATTTTCTTCTATATGTCTGTTTCAAAAAGGATGGACAGAAACACTTGTGGATTTTTTTTAATCTGAAGCAAGAGTGGAGCTTGATTTTCTGCTCTCTCTCAAAGATGAAAGCTTAAAGTACTGTTTATCTGAAGGTGATTTTTTGAACTTTAGTTTTGGAAACTTTTGTGTTTTTCTCTAATATTCCCTTGACTTTCCCCTTTGTTATGCAAGTAGATTATCGTATCTGATCTCTTCAGAAACATCTCATGAAAAATTATTTATGACATGAAAAACTTATTCAATAGCCAGTTTGCCTGGAAATGAAGTAATGAAGGGTGGACTCTAGGCTTTTGCACAGCGCTGTGGAAATGGTATTGTATTCAGAACCTGTGTTTCCTGAAGTGGACATTTTCGCAGATTGCATTGTAATGTGAGAAAATGCACAGAACACAGCTCTCCTGATTGATGATCTGTTGAAATGGCCCCTTGTATACATGTATCAGTAAGATCAGGTCCTTCTTGTGCATACATAGTCTAATAGTCTTGAGCTAAAGATAGTAAAGAACAAGAGTTGCTTCCTAGCAACTGTTGCTAATCCTTCTAGCTAAGCAAAAAATACCTATCTGATAAAAGTGGAATGTTGAAGTTTATATTGTGACTGTTAAAAGCTTGAATACTGTGCAGTATGTAAATGTATGCCTTGGTTAGCTTTTTACAGACGATGCTGTTGACACTTATTTTGCTGTTATCAACCTAATATAAGTTCTTAGTGTTAGCGAATAATGTTCTCAAATGTTTTGTCTGAAATAGAAGTGTCAACACTGAATACTTAGTACAAATCATCCTCAGTCTTTTTCACTTTGTTCTGTAGATTCAAAAGTGAGCCTTTTGTGCATATCGGTGTAGAATTGGTGTCTGAAGAGCTTTGTTGCGGCTTCTTCTTTGCTTTCCACGTCCTGTATTTGCGCATTTACTGTAGTTGCAGTTGAGGCACTTGCAAGATTTGTGATTGTTTTATCAGCCTGGCGTCGGGGCTCAGGAAAGGCATTTATCTCTGTTGAGAGATGGCTGTATTGTTTGTGACACACTGAAGGGTAACAGGCTGGAATGATGAAACTGACCTGTCCGAGCCCCACCCACAAATGCGCTGTTTTGTAGCTATCTAATAAGAACCTGTAGCAGACAGCTCAACTTTTGTCAAAACCCCTACAGTTGGAGTGCTTTATTAATAGAATATTTATTTTGTGTGCCAGCTAATGTTAGCTTGGTGGCAAATTGTCATTTGCAACCTGCCTAGTTTCAATTAGCTGCAACATCCTCGTCCAGTGTATTATGTAGTGACCAAATTCATTATTCGCTATCATTCTGTAAAGCTCATCCAACCAGTTTTTGTGAAAGAGTGCATTTTTGGGTGGAGCATGAAGGTCAGTTACAAATAGTTTGATTTGCCTGGTGGGTTTGAATGTTTTATGATCTTTCCACACCTATTAAACCAACACCAACCATGATAAACATTGTAATTTAAAAGCAGTTGGCTTTAAAAAAAATATTTGAAACTGGTCAAATGGACCAGTGTGAATGGAGGAGAATGTTCTAGAGACTTTCCAACAATAACAAATTTACTGAACACCATTTGGACTTGTTGCCAGTTTGTTAGTAGGTGTGGAAGGGCTATTGGGAGGTATTTGATTATTGAGTCGATTTTGTTGGTGAGTTTGGTGCGAATTAGAATTGTAAATGACTAGTTTAGATCAGATTTTATTTTTGCTAATGGAACATGGTACATATCCAGTATAAAAAAAATATATTTTCTGAAAGTGGGCTTAAGGGTGGAGGTAAAGTTAGATGATGTGGTATTGTGGTACGATGGTGCAATGACATGTTGGCCTTCAGGATGTAATGGCTTTGAGCAACACTGTCCTGGCTTTACTGCAATGAGTTCCGTTCTGGTTGATTCCGTTTGGCGATCCCATGCAAGGCATTTTTTTTATTATTGTCCTTATCTAATACATCTAATACATCAAGATCTTTGTGATTAAACCTCCTGTTTCATTTATTAAGCATGTCTCATTGACTTGATTGATTTTCTTTTCAAACCTGAAAAAACAGTGGACCGAGCTAAGCCATGGCAATAAAATACTTCAAAACTTCAAAACTGAAATATTTTACTTTGACACATCCAAACTGAGCTCTATTTAGCAAACTACTCTAAATAATCTGTTGTACCTAACTGCTGATATAACCTTGTTATTATGCTAGTTTGATAGTCTAAGGGCTACAAAAAAGGATTTATGCCGCACAATTGTTATTCTAAACCTGAAGCCTAAATCAGACAACAAAGATTATATATGTTATGCTTGTATACTTGTGACTTTGAGTCCATTCTTATACTGTTAAATTTGAAACTCACATTTGACTCAAACCTACTTGTACACAGAGATGACTTATCACATATGCAGGTTTATGTGAAAACACGAGAGTTTCACATCGTATGAGCTACAATTTTAATTACATCACACATAATTTAGTGTTGTCTTAAGTTTTAAGTGGGTAAATTTAACCTAATGCAGAGCTCATGAACTGGCTGTTTTACACACTACATTCAGCATTGCTGGTCTTCTTGAGGAAAATGGCCTTGAGCTTAATTTATAGAAAATAATCCCATTTAAATCACAATCATTGGTATTGGCTGGAAAAAACGCAATTAGATATTTTCCACAAATCATTCGGCTCTAGTCCCGTTCTCACCTTATTCTGTGAGTGGCTACTTAGTGTGTAACATTGCTACACACTTCTGACTTAAAAACAATATAGAAACGGAGGATGCAAGTTAAATCAGATATGTTAGACCAGCAAAAACAAGAGCATCCGCAGTGCATGGGAATGCAGGACTGGGATTGAGGAGCACCGGGGTACTCAAACAGGGCCTAGTTTCGCAAAAGCAGGTTTAACTGATTAATGTGATGATGTGTCTACTACTTAAGAATCATCTTTATGTTAAGATGCTTTCAGGAAACCCAGGCCAGGATGGTATGGTGCATTGTGGGTACTGTAGGAATGGCTGGTTGCAGTTCATGTAGGTGAAAGGCACTTCACAGTGTGGTAAATGAAAGGGGAAAATGCATGGTTATTGATCGAATCTTCTGGAGGATTGATTGATGAGTTGGTTGGCTCACTCAGATAGACAGACAGCCCACAGTCTTATCTGGCAGAGAAGAGTAACCAGATGGAAAATGACCCTTAGGGTCATCGTCTAACCTTTGACCTTTGAGGGTTAATTTGCTGCATTTCAGTCGATGTTGCCCTATAGCTTTATTCTGCTTAATGGGATAATAGACAGAAACCTTTAATTCTACAAAGATGTCTGTATTATTATATCGTATGTATTAATGATCTATTTTGTAAAGTTAGTGCAATATATTTTTGTCTTGATCTTAATGAGAAGGTGTTGTCTGTAGACACACAGTGTATTATTCAACTGTCTTATCTGTAATGCACATTTAATAATGATGCAGTAGTGTGTGTGCGTGTGCGTGTGTGTGTGCATATGTGTTTGTGAGGACGGAGGTTTATTCACTCTTGCATGCTGGTCTTTTGTTATTATATTTCATATAATTGGTTATAAAAGGCAGTGAGTGAATGCACAAAGAAATCTTAGTCTTATAATTGCCGCTGGGAAAATGTTACTTATATTAGCCGAAGCATTACAATTACTGTTATGATTTTACAGTTTATTGTTTTTTTTTTACTTTTGACATAAATGCTAGTGAGGAAACTGCAGCTCAGTGAAACAATGTAGTTTGCTTTCATATGAGTCTGTGTGCTATGGCAGTATGTACGGCATCATTGAGTGCTAGAAAAAGTGTTCATGTGTTGCAGGACCACTGAATACTCAGGGCCAGATATACATACGAGCGCAGGTGCAGAATGCACATTGATGCAACCTCAGTTTGTTTGAATGTGCCTAAATTTAATATTGTGTTTACTGCAGCTTATCATGCGAAATGCATGTAGCCCCACCCACTAACTTCTTACTTGTGAGGGATTAAAGACGTAGTGAAATACAGGAACTATCACCAAGCTGGAGACAAAACAAAAAATGCGGCTGCATCACAGCACATTTTGCACCACATCTTCTCAACACTTCTCTTCCTGAGAGTTTAAGCAGTGTTATTCTGTTGGTAAATACTTTTTTAGTACATGGTTGAGACTTATGCCTCCATCTAACCACTGTGTCTGTTGCCATTGTTAATGGAAGCCTCTCAGCAATGCGCCTTTCAAGACCCTAACACAAATTTACACCTGCTTTTAAAGATGAAGAAAAACAGCTTTAGTGAATCAAACAGAATATATAATCAGCTGCATGTGTAATATCTCCACCCACGTTTTGCTCAATCCTCCCTCAAATGCATACACGAGATTTCATACATAACACACAGCCAGAGTGCGTTCGAGTAGTACATCAGGCCCTGAGCGTTCACTATTAGCATGATTAGCAAGTTCACAGAAGTGTGTGTGTGTGTGTGTGTGTGTGTGTGTGTGTGTGTGTGTGTGTGTGTGTGTGTGTGTTTCAGTCAATAAAAAGCAGTCTTGAGTGTGCAGACATATGCACAGCTGTGGAATTCGCATTTTCTTGTAAATGTTTATTAATAGTAAGGCGCTTTAACTCAGCCAAATGCAAACCACCCGTCTGAGATAGCACTCCAGAGGGGCTTAGATGGATAACCACTTTTATGTGCACAATAGAAGAAGCTTAAGCAATCTCAATAAAGATTTTATATTCAAACTTACACTGCTTCTCGCGTGTGAATTTATTGAAGACATCTGTATTTGTGAAATGAGAAACTATCAAAGAATTATGTAACCTTTACTGCTGTGTCAGCTCAAGGGGGTGCTGATGAACTGTGTGTGGGGTGAAATGCCTGCTGTGTCTGCTTCTAACAAGCAGTAGCCCTCAGGAAAGATAAATTACAGTAAAAAAGCCAACCTGTGTGTGTTTTCCTACTTCAGTTAAAGCAGAGTTGTCAACCTTCAGTTCTGATAGTCCACAGAACTGCACACATTCAGCCTGTCACTGAATACACTGATGAGTTGCATCAGAAAAAAAAAACGTGCAGTGAAGAAGCTCTCCAGGACTGCAAGACCCACATCCACAACCAGTATAGTGCACCACATAGTGTACTATATAACCACTAGAGTGCCATTTTAGATTCATATTTCTTCTTCTTCTTCTGCCGCTTCTTCTTCTCCCTTTTCTTCTTCTTCTGCTTCTTCTTCTCCTTCTTTTTCTTCTTCCTCCTCCTCTTCCTCTTCTTCCTCTTTTGCTGGTTTCCCCACTTCCTTGCCCTTTTCCTCTCTAGGGCCCTTTTCCTCTGTGGGCTTGGTGTGTGCAGGTTTGTCCTGTGTGTGTGGGTGATGTGGACGATGCTGAGGGTGTTTGTTTGTCTGTGGTTTGGTGATTTCTAAACTCTCCTGGCTGGAGTCATCATTGTTGGGCTGAGGTGGGTGTGGCCTACGTATGCAGGGTGGGCGGGGACCAGAACACTGAGTGCTGATTGAATGGTTGAAGTGTGATGCTGCCATGCATTCCGCCGTGGTGCGATCACACACACACTGCAGCCGATCACACACGCTCACTCCCAAACCTGCATCCGGGAAACACACAACACACACGATCAGTCCAGTTACTCATAGCTGAGTAGGTCAGCCTGGTCTGTTAAACAGCAGTGCAGGGGCATTCCGGCCTAAAACTACAGTTAAGGATATCTGTCGTGATATGCAGTATCCAGTAGTGTAGCATTACACCACTGTGCCTCATTACTTTGACAGAATTCACAATTGTGTATAAGTTTTATGTTTTTGTTCATCAGTTTTGTCTCACTACAATACCCAACCATTGGGAATGCCTGTGGTGTCAACTAATCCTGACTGCTAGCCCGGCCACTGAGCCCTAGGCTAAATACAATCAAGCTAGCATTTTTGTAACGCTTACCTTGATCATCAAACAAAATCAGAAAGAAAACAGTGATTCAAACTTTGCTCAGCACAAAATGGATTCCAGACAGTCACCACAGTTACTGTCTTCTGCAAAAGTTTGGACACCCGATCAAACTACATATTTTGATTTTCTGAGTAAAATAAACTAACAAATCTTATTTTTCATTTTAATGTTAGTATGTTCATTAATCGGTCAAGTTCTTTATGATTTTTTTTTAAACCAAAGCAGTTGTTTAAGTTTGGAGGGATTTTGTGAGTTTTAAACACTGGTGCAGCATATTAAAAGACATTCCTGGTCACTTTCACTTTCCCTTTTATTTTACTGCTAAATGTACAAATAAAAACAATTTTGCATAAAAAACTAAATTTGGCAAATGCCTATAATATGTTGAGCTTACTGCTTGATCTAGCAAAATGGTAGCATCAATGTGAATGTAAAACATTTCACTTCTCACTTATTTGGAAATCATCCAAATGGATAAATAGTTAAAAGGTCTTTCAAAAGGAAAGGTAATAAGGCTGGACCATCTACAAGTGAAGGGACCATAATATTTCAAGCTGGGAAAACCAAAAAAAAGAAGCATAAACCGAAATGAAGAAAATACAAAAGTGGTTAGCATATTGTGGCCTTCACGTGCGTAAGAACTGAAAACATGCAACTGACGCTCTGTGCAGTTCGCTCACAGGTCTTTTCAAATGAAGCCTTGACCAACGATTAGTGCCATCAGGAGACTAAACATAGTGAAAATGTATCTAGACCTGTCAAACTGATCAAGAAATCCATATGCAGCTTTGACATCCAGCTCTCAGGAGCTGCCAAACAGAATCAGCTATCTGTTTAGGGGTGTCAGAAAAAGTGATCTGATTAGTTGAACCTTCTTGTACCTTTTGTGGTTGTTTATGTGTATCACGAGTTGCAAAATGTTGGGAAACACTGATCTATGCTAATCAACTGCACACAGAAATGGCAGATAGAGATTAGTTTAAAACACTCAGCTGCAGGCTTTAATTGATCATTAAGTTTAACTGCTTAGTTTAAGTCGAATCTAAAGTTCAGCTCATCTCCTCACTACTTTTCAGAAGGCCCTGACGGTACACAGGTCTATATTTTTCCAATAAATAACAAAATAAAAATATATATTTTTTTAAATGTTACATAATAAAAATGTGCTCAAACTTTTTTGGCCCTTGCGATTGCAGTGAGCGTTATGTTTAGCAGGAGGTTCTCAGTAATGTTCAGGGTTATGATAAGGGCAAGATTAGCTAATTGAGATGTATACATTAATGTAAATCCTGCAACTCACATCGGGGCTTGCCCTTGTTACAGCTGACACGGACGTTGTGTTTCCTGTCTCTCCTGCAGCCCAGCAACACGATTTGCTCCAGACAACACTGATGAAGAAAACAGCACCTAGAAAAGAATACAAACAGGAAGAGAAATGACAATCTATAGTCTATATGATAGTCACCTTTTATGTGTTGCATACAGGAGTGGGAAAAAATATTGGAAACATCTGACAATATATTCATTTCAGTGTTTGGGATGGGGTCATACAAGTCCTAAACTGTGTATAGTGGAATATTAGACAGCTCTTTTATTTTAACTGCAGCATCATGAGCAAATAGTGTCTGCACTATTCACTGAACCTGGTCTCATAAAATGGTCACATTTATTGACCATTATTTAACCACACAGAGATGTTATCAGGCGAAGTAACTGTAATGAGAGGGCTGCCTACACAAGAATGGATCCATCATGTTTAACAGTTGGGAACCAACAGTTGTTATTGTTGGTTGACGGGTTCCTTTGGCTTTCTTTACATGTAAAGAAAATCAGGAAAAGCGACGCTCCATTGCTCACCTTACACCTGACTATGCATCTTTATACACTGGCCTTGGATATAATCAGTTTCACAACATACAGTTTTTGCTGAGACTTGCTTATAGAGGTGCTCTAATTACGAGGTCATATTTGTCAGCTTTAGTTTTATGGTGTTTAGCGACTGTCCTGTAAAGCAGTGGTTCTCACACCAGTCATGAGGGACCCCAGACGGTCCCCATTTTTGCTCTATCCCTGTGTGTTGCAAGATAGGTTGGAGCAAAAATCTGGACCGTCTGGGGTCCCTCATGACTGGTGTGAGAACCACACCAGCTGCAAAGTGTCCATCTGTCCCTGTCACTGTTTGCGTGTGTGGTCATAATTTGTGAGGCTGTTATTCTTAACATATATTATAGTGTTTGGGTACTGACTTTTAAACTTTTGTTTTGCATTGCATTGATTATATCCAAATTTGAATTTGCCTTTTTGGCTAACGTTGCTAACTAGCATTTAGCCTAATATGAGCTCTGTTTGTAAATGTTAAATGTTAAATGTTTGTAAATTCTTCAAATTTGAAATCCTTCTTTACATGGGTTGTTTGTGTAGTTTTGGCCATAGTCTGTAGACCGACGGGCCACACCTCCTTGAATTTACACTCTTTGTCAATTTTTTTTAGGTCCATTTACCATATATACGCACTTTGTAGTTTTACAATCACACACTGTAGTCCATCTATTTCGCTGCATGCTTTGTTAGCCCCCCTTCACCCTGTTCTTCAGTGATCAGGACCACCACAGAGCAGGTATTATTTGATCATTCTCAGCACTGTAGTGACACTGATGTGATGGAGGCAGCATGTTAGTGTGTGTTGCGCTGGTACATGTGAATGAAATAGAAGTGTTCTTGGAGTTTGTGTCAACTCACTGTCCACTCCTACTTTGCTGGGCTGCTGTATGGATGTAAGGTTAGAGTTTGTGTTGGTCATCTTCTAGTCCTAGTGGTCACAGGGCACTTTTGGCTGGATGGGTTTGTTTGGTGGACTATTCTCAGTCCAGCAGTGACACTGAGGTGCTAAAAACTTCCAGCAGCACTGCTGTGTCTGATCCACTTATACCAGCGCAGCACACTCTAATACACCACAACCACGTCAGTGTCACTGAAGTGCTGAGAATGATGCACCACCCAAACAATACCTACTCTGTGGTGGTCCTGTGGGGGTGTTACCATTGAAGAACAGGGTAAAATGGGGCTAACATAGTATGCAGAGAAACTACTGGGCTGTAGTTAGAACTACTCCTATATGGTACGGTAAGTGCAACTGTTAAAATGGACACTGAGCGTAGAAACAAGGAGGTGTACTTAACGAAGTGGCCATTTGGTGAATATATACCTGTGTTATGTTTATTAGTGTATCTTTTTCTATCCTATACTTTCTATGTGTCTGATGTAACTGGTCCAGTTGGTTTGGAGACTGACCCCTTGCTTGGTGTTTATGTGTGTCAGACTTCTCCTGTAGTAGCGTGTGTATTTGTGTGTGTTATAGTCCTAAGGCTGTCCCCCATGTGCATGTGTTGGTACTTTACCGGTCCAATTGATCCTGAGGCATACCACTGCCCTGCTGCCCACAGTAGCAGCCATAGTACTGGTACTCATGAGGACAGCGGCCGGTCAGACAGTGCAGCATCTGCCCCAAAGCCTCAAACTCCCTCATCACTGCTCCCACCGAGTTGTACTGGGTAAATGACATGCTACACTCTATAAGCACACACAAACAAAATACATGCACAGAGATCATAATCATTCTCTTTTCGCTATAATGTACTATAAAAATGTCTCAGGGTATATGAAAAGAGCTCAATACTTTCCCCACTGCTTTACTCAAACACAAATCAGTACTTTCCTCAGTACTGTAGTTCTACACTACAGACCTACAGGAAGCTATTATAGTAGCTTAGCTCTGTTTGTTTGGTCTTT